TTTTAATATTGATATTTGTAATTGTATTTGATCGATTGATATAAAACGTCTAATATCTGATATTATTAATTATATAAGAGAATAACTATGCTACATAATATGTATATTCTATTATGCGTATATCTTTATACATACATACCCACGTACGTAAGTATATTTTGACTAATATAAGGGGTAATCGGAGATTTAATGTAAATAAATAAATAGAAGTTCGATCACATGCGTAATCGAACCTCTCTTTTGTTCAGATAAATTGGCACAAGTAATGTGAAAGAACTTGAATATATATATATAATTTTCTGGTTTTATCTCGATAGACAGCAAGTGCAATCAATGTGAGCGCTTTAAAACTCAAGGCAGAAGCAAAAGAAAATAAGATTAGGTGAATATAAATAATACGTATGCCTTTAAATAGTTGTAAGTACACAGTATAATTAACTCCACGCTAACTTACAATTCTTTATGTCTTTTTCAGTTATGGAATTATTCAGCTATACAGAAGCTACCTGCGCTATAACTAACGAACCAATAAATGAAGTAATAATCGAGAATGATCAAGATGATATAAGTCACGAACCAATATGTGATACAGATGATATAAATTATGAGCCAATATATGATACAGACTCTTCTGTTGAAGAATCAGATATTCTTTCGCTTAAAATAACTTTAGGTAAGTACAGTCAAATTTTCTTAAATGCAACACGTAGAGACTAGACTTTTTTTAGCTTGCATTTAGAGAACGATATAAAATTTTGGATTTATAGAGGTCTTGATAAGTTTGGGCAAGAGTTAAGATTACATTTAGAGAGGCGTTGTATTTAGGGGGGTTGTATTTAAAGAGGCTAACTGTATTTATAACTCTTCATTGAATAATTTTTAATATTTCTTCTTTTAAAATACTTTAGGTTAGTCTTTTCATACCTGGAATGACGTTGAAACTTTCCTACATGCATACAGATTAGAGAAGGGTTTTAGTATTCAGAAAAGAAGAACTGAAACTCAAGTAGAAAATGATAATAAAATTTTAAGCAAA